AAATAGGGTGAATACATCTCATTACACTGATTTACTGGTAGTCTCGAAACCCTACTCTAATACGAATGTCTCTTACATTACGTGAGAAAGCTCAGCTAGGATACCTCAGGGTTGAGGGACGCGGATGAGCCGAGGACTTATTCGCATAAAGCTACAGTTACAGACCAAAGGCAATCCTCCTTCAACTTCTGGTGAAGCAAAAGTATGAATATTTTCCACTCGCTTATTTAGACGAAATAAAAGGTATTCCAGCATCAGTCTTTTAAGGGACTTTTCGAAAGCCTGTTTTTCTACATATCTGGATTGAAGACTTTTGGATTGTGCGAATTAGCCCTTGGTTTACTTTCTTGTGACCCGATGAACCTGTGTCAAGCCTTCGTCTGTACCACCGTCAAAGGCATCATCAGAGCATTGGTGCAGACGAAAGAAGGAGGGAGGTCGCAGGACGGTGAGCAGAGGACTACGTCGCAAACTCCAACAGTCTCCACTCCAATCACTGCAATCTTTCTCCGTTTACCGGTCAGACCATTCCTCAAATTCTTTCCAACCAACGTTCCTCTCCATATCATATCACAATAAAGCACAATTTAAGGTTTGCTGATTCAAGAGCGGCAACTCTGCGAAAAAGATGAGTCTAATTTCATTGCTCATCAGATTCGTTCAATTCCGTGAGGTGAAGCCAGAAAAATTTTCTACGGCACTCATCCTTCGGCTTCCGAAGAGACCATTTTACGATTTTTTCCAAACAACCTTCCTTTCAAAATGGAAAGTAATGTTGGATTCAATCACTAATTAATTTTATGAAACCCCCTTTTCCTACATTTCTGAGATTTCTTTGCCTTGCCTGAAAACGATCGGCTTGGTGTTCGGCTTGACTTTCGGCTGATCAGGCGGACGGTTGTCGTCAACACCTCTCATGACTTCTCACCTCGCGACGTGGAGTCGTCGGTTAGGGACTTTCGCTGAAAGGCAACCCAAGACAGTGTTTAGGCCAAGACAAATGGGCGCCGTTGAGAGGTCGTCATGTCTCCGGCGCTGCCGAGAGACCCGCATCCTCCGCGCGTGCACACGACTCCCCCTCCCCTCGGCCCGAGAGGCAGACGTCTCACATGAGCAGGCGGTTCTTTGGGTTTGGCCCTGATCCTGTCTTTTCGAGGCTCATAACTGTCCTGTTGGAGAGGTGAAGGCCGGCGCGGCAGCTCACGGAGGCGCAAAACTTGATTTGGGCCAGCATGTATGTATGTTTCTTTATGCGTGTTTGCGTGTTTGTTCGATTTAGTGTGACCTGGTTGCACCTTAGCACCAGAGTGAAAAAAGTTTTTCAATTATAGAAATGCAGAGGGGACGGGAGCTGCTGGACCGGTCAGAGTCGCACGATTGTTGTCCAATCTGTGTCGGAGAGTTGTCAAGGCTCGCCTAAAGCATGGGCAGTATATATTTCCTATTTTATTTGGCCGTTCTCTTATGCCCTCTCCGGAATGTGGAAGCTTTCGGTACGTAAGCTACGAGCGCTCTCATGACGACTGGATGCTCCGATCTCAGCCTGAATGAGCACTCTTGCATTTGCCTAAGCCTTATTACAACTTTTCTGAAGAGAAGTGCTTAAAAGAGTTCCCTATTCAATTCAGATTGAGATATTATTCATTTAAGTCAATAAAACGGCTGGATAGGGTTCGTAAATTGGCCCAACTAGAAACTGAGGCAAGAGCGCAGAGGCGTTGTGACCGTTTTTGGGCTCAACAGCTCTCGTAGCAGCGCATTCATCCGGATTACAAAATTCGGCACATTCATAGTCCCGAATATATGGCGAACCTTCTCGGTTTCTAAGGTCATCTTGCAAATCCATTCCAGCGAACTTTGCCTTCTAAATAAAAGGTATAATAACCGCATGAATATTATTTAAATATTCCTGCTTAAAGGGACTAGAGCCAGGCCTCATGAACATTTTTTTAAATTTACTCCATTTTAATTCGTCTTTATTTCTTTTAACCCTCCGATTGGCACTTTGTTTCAGGTAATCTGGATACTTGCAGGATTCCTACTATGTAGCTTGGCCGACTCCTGTCCAAAGGCGAATGTGTCCCAGTAAGTCAGCTTTACTCTGCAATGTTGTGAGTTTTTTGCTAAAATTAATCTT